TCAGTGGGTAAGTATTTACAGCATATACATATAACAAGTCATTAGACCCAGCCCTCACATTCACAACAGACATTACATAACCTTCTCGTATAGGGGTCAGCCATTCAACCATATGGGCACCTAGTCACATGGTCCCATCTGAAAGCAATTACCCGTCCTTCCTCCCAGGTGGTCTTAACCCAGTGTTCTGATACACTGTAGCAGCCCTTAATGTACTTGAGAGAGAAGCCTCTGAAGACTGAAGTGGTGCAGGGTTCCATATGAACATCAGTTGGACATGGGTTAGTTGCTCCTGGTCACAGACCAGGCCACAGGGGCATTGACTTAATTATAAGTCTTACCTGTTGGCAAATCACATCTTGCCTAGAAGTATGAGAGTAGCTTCATCCAGCCTCATCAGCACAACAATGGTGGATGAACCAGGTTAGGTAGGGTTTGTCAGGAAACAGGACAAGTGTTTCTTGACATGGGTTCTTAGTTATATGATGACCCGCCACTGGTGGTCCACACTTACACTCACTCACTCACCCATTTGACTATAAGCACAGAAATACGTATCCTAATCTTAAAATAATGATTCCTAACTAGTCATAAGTTTGCCTGTGATACTCCAATATAGAAACTATGTATTGTACCAAAACAAAAGCATTCACATTGCTAAACTCACAAACTAGTATTTGTCACTTAGTATTTAGTCAACTTACTCCACAATTTGTTATAATTTAGGGTTAAGAATTAATCTAAGTTTGCCCGAAATGCCTAGCCTTGGTGGGCGTTCTAGTGGTACACTCTGTAATTAGTATTTTACTACATGTAAACCACACAATCTGTAAACCCCGCATTGTAATCCTTATAGAGAATAAACTTTAATTGACTGATTGATTAGTCATTTGACTAAGGCCTTCTGCTGCCTTACCCCCTCCACCCCTTTAAAATTTGAAGTTATTTTAACTAATTTTAGGTGAACGAGCCAGCCTCTCCCCAGCTTTTATACTCACAACAAACAACAGAACACAATGATACACAATATTTCTTAACTAATTCATTAATACTCTGTTTTTCTCCCGTAACTAGAACTTATACTTTTAAAATACTGTTGTTACAATATAATTATTTTATTATGTGCTGTTTACAAATGAACCTATTTTTATTTAAATACAGAGTTAACACATTTTGCCTCTGCCTATAAGACTAGTCAATTCTTATGAGAGAATCAAGGCAGATTTGTCACCAACAGTTCAGTATAACTGTTATAGGTATCCTGCTACTTAGGTACATAGCTACATAGTGGTTCTATAACCACAAAACAGTACTATATTCACATATTTAAATTCCTCTCATTATAATCCTCATTATACAAATGGAAGGAAGCTAAAGATATTTAAATCTTGAAGTCCCTCTCAATTGATATCTAAACATTGTCTCGAGTATCCTCATGTTTTTGCACAGATGTTGCAAAGTATATGAAAACATTGCTGGTATTGACTGCTGTGCAGGAATCAACTAGTGAAACCACATTTAATGATGCCTCTGAGACTCCTGTGGTGAGAAATATTTTATATATAAACACTGATTACAGGAGAGCCCCACTTATACAGCAGGTTAGGTTCAGGGCTACTGCTGTACAGGAGGGCCCTGCTTATACAGCAGGTTAGGTTCAAGGCTACTGATGTACGTGAGGGCCCCACTTATACAGCAGGTTAGGTTCAGGGCTACTGCTGTACAGGAGGGCCCCACTTATACAGCAGGTTAGGTTCAGGGCTACTGCTATACATATAGCAGGCTAGGTTCAGGGCTACTGCTGTACAGGAGGGCCCCACTTATACAGCAGGTTAGGTTCAGGGCTACTGCTATACATATAGCAGGTTAGGTTCAGGGCTACTGCTGTACAGGAGGGCCCCACTTATACAGCAGGTTAGGTTTAGGGCTACTGCTATACGTATAGCAGGTTAGGTTCAGGGCTACTGCTGTACAGGAGGGCCCCACTTAAACAGCAGGTTAGGTTCAGGGCTACTGCTATATGTATAGCAGGTTAGGTTCAGGGCTACTGCTGTACAGGAGGGCCCCACTTATACAGCAGGTTAGGTTCAGGGCTACTGCTATACGTATAGCAGGTTAGGTTCAGGGCTACTGCTATACGTATAGCAGGTTAGGTTCAGGGCTACTGCTGTACAGGAGGGCCCTGCTTACACAGCAGGTTAGGTTCAGGGCTACTGCTGTACATGAGGGCCCGACTTATACAGCAGGTTAGGTTCAGGGCTACTGCTATATGTATAGCAGGTTAGGTTCAGGGCTACTGCTGTACAGGAGGGCCCCACTTATACAGCAGGTTAGGTTCAGGGCTACTGCTATATGTATAGCAGGTTAGGTTCAGGGCTACTGCTGTACAGGAAGGCCCTGCTTATACAGCAGGTTAGGTTCAGGGCTACTGCTGTACAGGAGGGCCCTGCTTATACAGCAGGTTAGGTTCAGGGCTACTGCTGTACAGGAGGGCTCCACTTATACAGCAGGTTAGGTTCAGGGCTACTGCTGTACAGGAGGGCCCTGCTTATACAGCAGGTTAGGTTCAGGGCTACTGCTGTACAGGAGGGCCCTGCTTATACAGCAGGTTAGGTTCAGGGCTACTGCTGTACATATAGCAGGTTAGGTTCAGGGCTACTGCTGTACAGGAGGGCCCCACTTATACAACAGGTTAGGTTCAGGGCTACTGCTGTACATATAGCAGGTTAAGTTCAGGGCTACTGCTGTACAGGAGGGCCCTGCTTATACAGCAGGTTAGGTTCAGGGCTACTGCTGTACATGAGGGCCCGACTTATACAGCAGGTTAGGTTCAGGGCTACTGCTGTACAGGAGGGCCCCACTTACACAGCAGGTTAGGTTCAGGACTACTGCTATATGTATAGCAGGTTAGGGGCAGGGCTACTGCTGTACAGGAGGGCCCTGCTTATACAGCAGGTTAGGTTCAGGGCTACTGCTGTACATGAGGGCCCCACTTATACAACAGGTTAGGTTCAGGGCTACTGCTGTACATATAGCAGGTTAAGTTCAAGACTACTACTGTACAGAAGGGCCCCACTTATACAGCAGGTTAGGTTCAGGGCTACTGCTGTACATATAGCAGGTTAAGTTCAAGGCTACTGCTGTACAGGAGGGCCCTGCTTATACAGCAGGTTAGGTTCAGGGCTACTGCTGTACGTGAGGGCCCGACTTATACAGCAGGTTAGGTTCAGGGCTACTGCTGTACAGGAGGGCCCCACTTATACAGCAGGTTAGGTTCAGGGCTACTGCTATACGTATAGCAGGTTAGGTTCAGGGCTACTGCTGTAGAGGAGGGCCCTGCTTATACAGCAGGTTAGGTTCAGGGCTACTTATGTACGTATAACAGGTTAGGTTCAGGGCTACTGCTGTACATGAGGGCCCCACTTATACAGCAGGTTAGGTTCTGGGCTACTGCTGTACATGAGGGCCCCACTTATACAGCAGGTTAGGTTCAGGGCTACTGCTATACGTATAGCAGGTTAGGTTCAGGGCTACTGCTGTAGAGGAGGGCCCTGCTTATACAGCAGGTTAGGTTCAGGGCTACTTATGTACGTATAACAGGTTAGGTTCAGGGCTACTGCTGTACATGAGGGCCCCACTTATACAGCAGGTTAGGTTCTGGGCTACTGCTGTACATGAGGGCCCCACTTATACAGCAGGTTAGGTTCAGGGCTACTGCTATACGTATAGCAGGTTAGGTTCAGGGCTACTGCTGTAGAGGAGGGCCCTGCTTATACAGCAGGTTAGGTTCAGGGCTACTTATGTACGTATAACAGGTTAGGTTCAGGGCTACTTATGTACGTATAACAGGTTAGGTTCAGGGCTACTGCTGTACATGAGGGCCCCACTTATACAGCAGGTTAGGTTCAGGGCTACTGTTGTAAAGTGAAAATTACTGTCAAGTGAGTCAGTCTTTTCACTTTCAAATGCATATAAATGCCTGATAGCATGTTTACACTATCATATATTAGGTGAGCTATAGAGCTAGGCCTAAAAAATGCATATACAGTACACACATTACTTACCTTAAAATATTTTCTTTCTTAGTTTATAGTGAATATATTTATTGTAGGAGGTCTAAAATGCCATAAACTGAAGCGCTGAAGTTAAAGTCGTGATATTTTGCCTTTATGGTAAAATATCATGATGTTTATTTCATCTAAACTATTATCTTGATCAATTTTTCCCTTAAACTGAAGTATAGAGAAGCAGTTTGATTTAAAATTGTGATGTAGCTGTAGAATACAGCTAGGGTAAGTGAACAAGTGATAATGGCACAGCAGTGTGTAGTTATGGTGAAATTAGCAGTTACTAGCCTTCTTGTTTGGCCTTTTAGCCATTTTTCCCTCAAGTTGCACCGTCATAAATCAATTTCTCTGAGTCATGTTTGAAAATAAGTTGCAGTTTTGCAATAGTCGTATAACGAAAATGTCTTAGAAGGATTGCGTCTTAATCGATGGTCTAGTATTAAGCCTATAATTGGCAAGGAAATTTATAATTAAGAATATTATCTCTGCTTGCAGTGTTTCTCAACCCGGTGTGTCAGCCAGCCGACATGTTTCCGCAGGTGTTGGTGTATTGTGTTGTACTTGTTAGCTGTGTGTTGCTCGGTGGGTGATGGAGGCTTTTGGCACTGCTGGTAGCAACATCTTTCACTGTGGGTGTGCAGTTGGTTCTATGGGGGATGTGACAGTGATTTGCTGTCACTGGAGAAGCTGTCACTGTGCCAGCTGTATTTGATGCTTCTACAGTGTATTGCCATGTCTATGGTGTATCGATACCTATATGGTGTGTTGCAGGACATTGCACCAATTGTATTCTCGTGTCTATGGTGTATTGATACCTATATGGTGTGTTGCAGGACACTGCACCAACTGTATTGTCGTGTCTATGGTGTATTGACACTTCTACGGTGTATTGTCGCGTCTACAGTGTATTGATACCTGTATGGTGTGTTGCAGGGCACTGTGATAAACCACGAGAGTGAGCACAAGAGTTCCTACATGGGTGGAGGACCTGGGGCGACAGCAGCGGTGGTGGGACGACTCTCTCGCCAGGGCTCCTCGGTGGACTCCTCACACTCGGCCACGGTGCACGTGCACACGCCCGAGTGCTGCATGTATGGCCATCCACACACGCCGCAGCCGCGCACCCGGGCGTCACCCACTGGCGACCAGGCCGAGTGCGACTTCCACTGCTGCTCGTTGCACGAGGAGGGAGGTCGCATCCAGGCAAGTCACGTGCACCACCAGCAACACCATGTGCACCACCAGCAACATCATGTGCACCACCACCAACCAGGGCCTCAGGTGCACGAACAAATACAGCAGCAACAGTATCAGCAGCAGCAGCAGTTGCAGCAGCAGCAGCAGTTGCAGCAGCAGTTGCAGCCGCAGCCATTGCAGCAATATCAGCAGTTGCAGCAGGAGCAGCAGCAACAGCAGCAGCAGCGACAGCAGCAACAGCAGCGTCAGTCTGTCTGTCGTATTCATGAACAGCCCTGCAACTGCTGTTGAATTCACCCATCCTATTAAATTATTCATTGACTCTGTGAGAGGTCTGAGAGGAGACAGCAGTGTCTGCATCTGCTGTTGTTCCACCAGCACCTGCTACAACAGCAGCAACCTCTGACCTTGCTGTTGTTGCACCAGCACCTGGTACAGCGACAGCAGTCCCTGATCTTACTGTTGTTCCACCAGCATCTGGTACAATGGCAGACAGCAGTCTTTGTATCTTGCTGTCATCAGTACTTGGTACAATGACAGCAGTCTCTGGTCTTGCTGTCATTCCACCAGTCACCTCACAGTCATCAGTCACTGCAGCTCAGGTCAGTGATCAATGGTGGCATTGACCTGCTCCTGCAGGCTGCAGTCTGCTCAACGCTCAAACACTCCATCTTGATCCATGGCTTAGTTTAACCCCCTAGTTCAAAAATTTTAGGCTATAAGCCTCAATCACTGCCATACACATTAATAATACTAATCACTCTAATAGTAGACTACTACCATGATAGTTTGGTTCTGACTATCATTACTAACAATGATAGTAGGCCACTACCATGATAGTTTATACCAACTACCATTGCTATCACTGGTCATAGGCTACTAACACTGATAGTAGGCTACTAACACTGATAGTATGCTACTAACACTGATAGTAGGCTACTAACATTGATAGTAGGCTACTAACACTGATAGTAGGCTACTACTATGATAGTTTAATTCCAACTACCATTGCTAGCACTGATAGTAGGCTACTACCATTACAGTTTGATACCGACTACCATAATAATACTAATAGTAGATTACTGCCAGGATAGTTTGATTTCAATTACTATTTCTTGCTTATATCAATTTTTTCCACTTCCCAACAACTGTTCAATCAATAACGGAAATCCAATTGATACTTATAGAAATTTTAAAAATTAAAAAAAAAAAAAAAGTCGACTTGATCCGGTACTTATGCTTGTATAGGCTTATGCATCTACCATGCCTGCCATCGTGGTTGCCATGGTATTAATTCCATTGCAACCATTTTTACTATAAACACTGGAGTACTGCCATAAACTATCAGAGATAGTTTTCTGTAAATAGTCACCAGGCATTTTTTTGTATCAATATTTGTAGAATTAATATCTATATTTAGGATAGAGTACTAACTCGTTTCGAAAATAGACGAAGTTGCATAATGCGACGGCTAGAGTAGATGGTCTATCACTTGCTGGTCAGATCTTGTCAATTCATTTTCAACAATCCCCTTATGTTTACAAGAGCGAACTATTACAGTAAAATTGTTTTGGATTGATGTGGAAATTGACTGACAGACTGTGGATGACCTAATTGGATCGAAGAACAGAACAGGTGAAAGATACTGCTATACAGTCACTTTTCTTTTAAAGCTCCTCTATATACAGTCAGTTCTTTTATAAAGCTCCTCTATATAATTGAAGTTTTTGCTGACATATTTAAAGAGTTCATCCAGGACTGAACAGCAGAGACTATGATGATTTGTTCACTTTTGGAATTGTATATAGAGGAGCTTTATAAGAGAACTGACTGTATATAGTGGAGCTTTATAAGAAAACTGACTATATATAGAGAAGCTTTATAAGAGAACTGACTGTATATAGAGGAGCTTTATAAGAGACTTGACCGTATAAAGAAAAGCTTTACCATTTCTGTTCGCCAATCCAAATGGTTTCTTGCCTTATTATAATGATAATAATAATAATAATAATAATGAAAATAATAATAGTAATGATAATAATAATAATAATATCAATAATAATAATGTTATTTAATTGTCATGTGATAATTTCCCATTTAATTAAAATTATTTAAAAAAGCACCAAACCCGTATGGGTAGTTGAGCGGCGCTCTCTGTATTCTTGCTAATCCTTTTGATAAGGTTCCAAAAGAATTCAATTTGTTGTGTTTGAATTTTAGACAAAATTTATAAGTTTGTCATGTTTGGATTGTAGACAAAATTGATCGATTTGTCAGTTTTGAATTTAAGTCAAAATTCAGTAGCTCACTCTTCACTTTTTCTCTACTTTTAAATAAAAAATAATTGCCAAGAGAATTAATGCAGAATTGCAAGCAGAACATGTTCAAGTGTTTCCCAAACAGGAATTATTCTCGTTGTCCCATAATTAATAATTTTAATAAACACGTTTCTACCAGTCAAAAATTATTTCCAAAGACGGGAATAAGAATTACTAATGTACCTTTATCAAAACCACAATTTCCTGCAACATCGTATACAGATGCTCGCCAACTTATGATGGTTCGACTTAAATTATTTTAACTTTATATTGGTGCAAAAGCAATTAGTTACAGTAATTTTTTTTTTATTTATTCAGTGACTTTAATTATTTATTTCCTTGTTTTTTAGCATGTCATATTTATATCAGACTTGCCATATTTTTGACTTACAATGGGTTTGCCAGAAGATAACCTTACTGTAAGTCAAGGATCACCTATGTTGCAAGAAGTCATGCATTGTCGCATTGTTTACGTTTTCAACAAATAGATGAGTAGAAATAGGAATTGTGTTGGTCTGGAGTTCAGTAGATGCAGGATCAATCATTTGCCACATCCCCCACTGATAGACTCGTATGGGTTTTGCATCTAATGTTAATTAGCGTTGCTGTTCAGTTCTGAATTTACAAGATTTGACCGGTCAGAGTTATCACTAGAGTGGTGATGTTATCATTAAGTTTGTTATAATGGTTAAGGTGTGTTATATTGAGGTTATATTAGTATCTAAGATAACTAATCACTGCCCACTGAGGTTAGCAGTGCAGCTGAGCTATTTTAGGAGGAATTAATGAGGGTCCAATGGAAATAAGCCAAGGGGCCCTAATGGAAATAAGCCAAGGGCCCTAATGGAAATAGGTCAAGGGTCCCTAATAGAAATAAGTCAAGGGCCCTAAAGGAAATAAGACAAGGGCCCTAATGGAAATAGGTCAAGGGTCCCTAATAGAAATAAGTCAAGGGCCCTAAAGGAAATAAGACAAGGGCCGTAATAGAAATAAGTCACTGTCTGGCTTCTCTGTGTTATCCTGGTGGGTAAATTACACATATATTAAGCTATGTATGATAACTATATTTATGTGTACCTGTACCTAAATAAACTTTCTGTTTATGCTCGATCCAGCAGCCCTTCGTTGATCTTCCTAAAATTCCTCAACTGGTCTGCTTCCTCGACTATTTGACTGCCTCTCTTACCTCTTTAGAATTGCATTAGTCAGTGTTGCAATTTTTATAGCCTGTGACCGGGTTGTGCAGTGAGCAGGTAAAGTTTTGAAGAAAGCTTCAGTGGCATTAAAGAATTTATAAAGCTTCGTATTTGAGGGCTAAAAGTTACTTGAGAACAGTGAGCCTTCTTATGAAGCTCCTCTACACAGTGCGGTTTATTGCAGTTGCGATTGAATAACTGAATCGAAAGTTGACTAATGCATCCTATGGGGCTGGTTCAATGTGCCATTCAATTTTGGATGTTGCTCTGCAGTTGCATTTACAAAATATTGCAAAACAGAGAGGAACTTTATAAGAGAGCTGACTGTATATATAAAGCTAATGTTATATATTTATAAAGTGCTTCCATAACACTAAGGTAAGAGGTGCTTAACTAATCGTATAATGCTCACTGTTCGTTCCCCCTCACATATCAAATTTTGTGTCCACCTGCCCCAAGTAAATGCATGCCATTTTCTGCCTATTCTCCATGGACCTACCAGTGTTTTTTATATTTTAATGCTTAAGTCATTGTTATTATTATTTTTTTGTATGTTAAAATTGGTCAGTTTGTTTCATCTTAGTAAAATGTTCAGTTCCATTTTTTTATGTGTTTTGTAAAATATATTTAAATATTTTCAGATTAATTTATATTCTGTGGAATTTTGTCTACGTCGCCTCTTATCCGACTCGGCTGCTTGGATTAAATGCCAGATTTACCCCACCTTTCCTTTGTTCTGCCTCTGTTTATCCTCGCTGCTTACTCTTCATAATTCAGTAATTTTTGTTTTTCATTATTTCTTTGCGCAAGGAGCGAAAATAAATGGAACAACGAGGACTTGGTGTTCACTGGACCAAGGTTTCAGAGTCCATTTGTTCTTCCATTCATCTGTTAGTGGTTATTCACTGTGACCTCTCCGGAGTTTTCATAGCAGGAATATTAATTAGCAGTATTTAACCTGCCCCCCCCAAAAACTTACTTTGGAGGCAGATGGACTTTTAGGTTGCTTATAATGTGGTTACATCTTAATGGTGGGGGGAGAGGTGTGCAAGCTGTCCCCTTCATTTACTGTGACAATGTCTGGCAAACTCGCAGTGTGAAGTTTCTTTATGTTTGAGAGGACAGAGTGCATTTTATAAGATGCTTTGATAGCGTTTCATATGCAGAAGTGAAGTAAATTTCAGACTGAGATTAGAACGACTTTCCAGTTCCCAGACATTGTAGCAACGTCCGTTGTGACTTTAGGGACGACCCTCGCTTGTACAGTACTAAATATACCCACTACTAATAGCTTTTAGGTAGCAAAATACAGGCTGTTTTAAAAAGATGGCCCCAACCGTGTAATAAAATGCTTTGAATTTGGGTCAATCTATTTGAAACACCCTTTATAATGGTAACCCCCCCCCCCCCCACCAATATACACGCCCCCAGATTTGGCAGCTTCTGATTGGCTTGTAGTCGCCCATGTAGAGGAACTCACAGTTTAAGAAAGTGTCTGCGATCACCAGAATAGCGTCAAAATTCGTCTTCCTTTGCCCTGAGTTTCGCCCCAGAGCTCTGGCTGCCTCGT